GGATTTAAGGTAGTCTGAGCAAAATGTAAGTGAACGAAAATGAAGTTTAAACTGCGGTACCTTAAATCCGACAAGTTACCCCGATAAGCAAGAAACCCCACTTCGTAGTACAGGCCACCGGTCAGTCAAAGACACTAGTTTTAATTTATACGGCAAGTCAAACTGAATCAGGTGTAGCCAAATCAGAAGGGTCTTGGTTGTATACCTTTGTCTTCTTCGAAGGTAATAAGGGCTTGCCCACCCCTCAGCAGAAGACAGGGTTTCTGGCTGATGGTGAACTGACTCTCAGTGGTCTCATAATCATACTTTTCTGCATCTTTCTCCTGTATCACATGTGCAAACTTCACCTTCTTCTCTGGGATGTCAGTCTTAACCTGAGGGCAAAAGCACTTTGCCAATGTCTCCTGTGCAGAAACTCACAGCCATCAAGCTCTCGGGATACTAAATGCCACCTCACCCCCTGTCCGTTCCTGAGAATACTCACCACCCCTGCCCCCCTCCAGACTGGCACTGGTCACTGTAACTTATCTATTTATTGCCTGTTAGTTAGTTAATCACTATATTTATATCACCTTTATGCTGCTTCTGTATTACTTATTAATAGGACAATAAAGTCCACTTGATTATTATTATTATTGTGGCTTGCTGTCTGTATGTTACACTGTCGTCCTGGGGAACACTATTTCTTTCTATTGTGCACCTGTATATGTATGGTAGGAGAGTAAAGCCAACTTATTATTATTATTATAATGGCTTGCTGTCTGTATGTGAAACTGTGGTCCTCTATCCCTGTACCATTTATACATATATGAATGGTATGGTAATAAAGCCCACTTGACTTGAGATCTCTTGTACCTTTGATTGTTGCTGAAGCAAACAGTATTCTTCTGTTTTCACTTTCAGTGCATCTTCATGCGCTTTTATGCGTTCCCTCAGAGTCCTGTTGCGCTTCTCAGCATCGGAGTTAAGGGTCTGCGAACCAACAGCCGCGTAGTCAATGGTCATGAGGTACAGAATCTAGAAGTGCATCCATTTTCTCCCATTATACAGAGTGAATCCATTTTAAAATATATTATGGAAACAGGAGGATCACCTCCAGTTCTTCTGTCATCCTCAAATGCTCAGCCTCCTTCTCCTTTAGCACTGAAATCATATGTATTGTTTCTTTCTGGAATTTTTTCTTTTGGTCTTCACAGTCCATTTTCTCCAGTATCAGTCTGGATTTTTCATTTTCTGCTTCTATAACCTTGGCCTAAGTAAGGTGACAAGAACAGAAATTTAGAAAGAAAGAAAGAAAATAAAAAAGAAAGTAAACCATATCACATTTGTTGCGGATAAAAGCAAAAAAAACAAAAAAGACGTGAACACAGGATAAAGACTGACAACTAACATTCTCTTCCTTACCTTCCAAAGTTCCAGTTCTTGTAAGGTAGCTGTCACTTCCATGCTTTATATCAACAAGTCTTTAGTACAAAGCTGTCGTAGAGAAAAAGATCAAAAACAAAGGTAAGGATGTACTGAAGGTATTCAGTTTTTTCTACCATTATATCTATGGGCAAAGATTTTTTAAACCAGAGTTGTAATGAACCTCACGTATTCTGGTACACTGAAATTGGCCCGCTAGTGAAAATGCAATATTCATTAGTTACGTCGTCGGGCCCGACTCTTTGGAGTAAGCCACCCCGACCGAAACCTGCTTAAAAACATATACAGCATAAATAAGAACGCAGCGACAATCACTAAACACAGTGTTTTATTCCTTCGACCGACGCAGGCCTACACGAGTATGACAACTAACAGTATTTCCAAAACTAACTTTAAAATGGACAGTTACGCTTTACTGCAGATTGTTTAGAGAACAAAACGTAAAACTTACTAAGAAATTTACAACTGCTTCCTCTAAACCGCACCGATCGCACAGAAACGAAAGCAAGAGCGGCGCGTGCGCACGAAATAAAACAATCAATAATGAAATCGGAGCATTATGAATCGTAATAGTTCTAAATCCTTATAAAGCAGATTCCAAACAAAACATAAAATTAAAGAAAGTTTATCTGGTCACTAGCAAACTGCTGCCAGAAAAACTGGAACTTTGAAATGCAGTACGTCACAAGAACAGCCCAGCCGAAAACGCACTTTGCAAGTTGTGGAGGGTTTCAACCAGTCCTTCCTCCTTAGAGCTATTATTTCTGTCACAGTAACTTTCGCTTTCACTTGGGGTGCCGGGTCATGTGAGCTCACAGGATATCTTCATCTGTTCCTGCTTATTGGGGGGAATCGCTAAATCTGATCCTGCTTATTGGGGGGAATCGCTACATCTGAGCTTATTTGGGGGGGGGAATCGCTACATCTGATCCTACTTATTGGGGGAATCGCTAGCATGGACGGGAAGGTGCTACTCCTGGAGGGTCTGCCTGACCAAGCGGCCTCGCTGAAAGCAAAACTGGAGCTCTACTTCAAAAATAGAAGAAAATCTGGAGGAGAAGTTTTGGAAATTCAAGAACACCCCAATGACAGGAAAAAGGCACTGCTGGTTTACGCTACCGACGAAGGTAATACGATCGTACACAGGAATAAATTTAACTTAAGTAACATGTATACGTCCAGCGGAATTTGATAGAGATTTTGAGTACTGATACGACAATATACGTACTGTAGTATTCGTCACTAACTGGAAGTGAAAATGAAAATATGATTTTAAGAAGTTCCTTTGACCAGGACAACAAATGCAATGATTCGACATTTGCCTCCTTTTTCTTAGACGCCCGAAAGGTCCTAGAAAAGAAAATTCACGCGGTTGATTTTAAGGGACTGGGAAAGGTGGATCTTATTGTGAAACAGCATGGGGAGAAAATGAACACAGGTATTAAGAGAGAATCACGTACACCTTCACCCAGCTTGATTAAGGAGAAACAGGAGCATTGTAGAGAAGCACCTGGAAAGCAGGTAATGCATTTTTTTTTTTTTACAGAGAAGTCGCAGATTTGTGAATTTGGAATAAAATGCTCAATAAGAAGCATTGCATTAAACAATAATATGTTTACTTTTTTAGGAGCAAGTCACCGTTTGTCAAGAATGTAAGTATAACTGTAACGGTAGCGTAATTTATCCATCCATCCTGAAATCACTTTATCCGGTGAGGTGAAGATGGCCTCGTTAGTAAAGATAAGAATTCATGGTTTGGAAACTGAGAAATTATGACCCCTAGTGATGATGATCTGTAACACCTTTTAAAGCCTTATTTTGCACAAGAAGTTTTTATCCTTTATTTATGCATGCAGTTTGTATGTGTCATTTGGTGTCCACTTTTAAATGTTTGCCTGTCTCATTGCAACGCGTATGTTTCAGCCTCACAGCAGGGTGATGGTGGCACAGTCACACTGCTAGTGAGCGGCACTCAGTCCATCAACGAAAATTTGCTAACAATGTACTTTGAGCAGTACTCTAATAATGTCAATATAAAAAAACATGGGGAAGATGGTTGGATTCTCAGGCTGTCAAACCAGTCAGGTAAGTGGCATACTTATCATTAATTAATATACTGAGTCCATGAACATTGCTCAGTAAGAGAAAAAATGTGGTTTTGGCACATTAAAGAGCAGTATAAGCTGTGGCCTAAATTCCTGTCATGCTTCCAATGCAGAGCCCTGCTGTGATAACAGTAACCCTCAAACTGTCCTGAAGGTCAAGTGTGGTTTTGCTTTCAGTCAATGTTTTTAATGTTTTTTCCAGATAACATTTTATATGCTATATGGTTTGTGAATCAGGGTCTTGGTGTGACTACAGAACCCCCAAGAGTTGGGCTCCTTGTGACCACAGGACCCATGGGGGAAGGGATTCTTGTGGCCCCAGAATCCCTGAGGGCAGGGCATTTTGTGACCACAGGACCCATGGGGGAAGGGCTTCTTGTGGCCCCAGAATCTCTGAGGGCAGGGCATTTTGTGACCACAGGACCCACGGGGGAAGGGCTTCTTGTGGCCCCAGAATCCCTGAGGGCAGGGCATTTTGTGACCCCAGAAATGGGGAGGGGCTGTTGCTGTTGAGGAAGACCTCAGAAAAATGCTGGAGTGGCTGATTGGGACAATCGGGAGAATCTGCGATGGATTGTGCTGGAAACGCTCAGGAAACGTAATAGATTATTCTGAATGCTATAGTGGCTCTCAAACTGTCTGGCTCTCAAAAGTCACATGTGTGACCAAGCCTGAGAACCACTGCCCCTTTTCTGACACCACAGCCAGTACATCACTCACCCACCTTTCTTTCTCAGACACGGAGAAGGTCCTGGCTGAAGAGGACCACAGGATCGGAGCATTCTCCTTCACAGTGGCACTTTACGATGAAAGGGCCGAGGTGGAGAGGCTGGACCCACATAGGTTCATCCTGAGTGGATTTGCTGGCAGCTGCAAGCACAGCATCATTTCCATCTACATCAAGAGCTGCAGCAAGGGGGCGGAACACTCGTGGGAGACCCTCAGTGAACTAGGCAGCTTGGCAGTCACCTTTAAGCAGGACATCGGTGAGCTCCGCACTTTTATAAATGTTGGTATTAAGGAATTAGTAGCTTGCCGATTTAAAGTAAGGTGTGAATTCTGGTGTATACAGCAGCAAAGCAGGTAAAGTGCAGACAAACAAACATGTAGTATAAAACAAGACAAAGTGCAAAGACAGCATATCTTGTACAAACTAATTAAAAGTACACAGTACACAAACCACACCCTAAAAAGAATATTACGGGAATAAACACGATGCATATAGAAATAAAAAATTAGTAATGGTAGTTAATTAGTAATGATAGTTTGTGCAATTATATATGAAAATGGATAACACTGGACTTTTCCTATAGCAAAGATGGGGTGCTTCCTGACATGTTCTGGCTGGGGGGTGACATGTCTGGAGGAGATGTATTTACATTTCAATCTTAGAAACAGTTGTATAAAAGAAATAAAGGTGTATTAATATGGAATAACTAGAATTCTACAGGACTGAGTTGCAGATGATCTTCGCTTGCTTAATATATCAATCCTTCATTTAGACATAAAGTTTTTTCTGGAGAAATGCTCCATGAAGAAGCTGGAGGACATGGAGATCACAGCTTCCCGTATGATGCGCACAGACACCATCTTGGTCGAGGGTAAGATGGACGGCATCTCTGAGGAGGCACTGAAGTTGTACTTCAACAGCAAGAGGAGTAAAGGGGGAAATATCCGCTCCTTGAACTGGGTCGACAAGACCAGGAGTGTGACTGTAACCTTCAGAGACTGGCGTGGTATGTTTTGACTGTATTCTTTCTGTTTTTAAGGCCCTAGACTTTTCTAATAGATCTGTGCCATTGCACTGCGATTTTCATACAGTCTTGTAATGTTCAGTTGGATAGAGTAGTTCCCAGGGCTGGACTTATCATCTGGCTTACCGTGCATTTACCGGGGTGGCCAATGGGGGGGGGGGGCACAAAGAATCGCTGGCCCACACCCCCATCGGCAAATTTGATATTTGATGGGCCTGCATGGGCAAAAGTGTAGGGCCTATTTTTAATCCCAGTCCAGCCCTGGTAGCTCCTACAAAAATATCCAGCTTTGTTGAAGTTCTAAGTTGAAAAGATGAACCTAAATTTATTAA